GTGACCTATAAATTTTTTCATCTGTGACCTCGAAATAATCCGAGACCAATTAATTTGATAAACTGTGACCTAAAATTAATTTTTAACTAATTAATAAGATATACGCTATCAAATTACACAATTAAATATTTAATTAATTAATAAAAAGTAGAAACCTGATTTTTACAATTTTAAAGTTTAGCACCTGATTTTTTCAAATGTGAAACTAAATACCTGAGCCATAAACTTTTCCCAATAAATAATGTTGTATAGCAAAACCAATATTGATCCAGTGTCGTTAATTAACAAGACACTAAATGTACAAATATGGGCACATTTGAAGTCTCCTATCGATTTATGGCACTTATTTGTCATCTAAATAAGTGTTTAGAGCCGATTGTGCTCCTAACTTTATTCCTCAAAACATGGAAGAAAACACAAGAAAAGCAGTATTCAATAGGAGACAATTGAAGTTAAAAAAATAATTGCGAAAACCAAAACAACTAAATGAATGATTGCAAGTTACACTACTAGATTTCATTGATATCATTTGTAACTACGGTATTCCTCCGCCACAAGTGAGAACATATTAATAAAATTTCGGAGGTACCGCCCTCCTTTCACAAAAGAAAAAAAAAGGTTACACTACTAGAGAGAGACATATGAAAATTTGGAAAAATGTAGAGAAAGAAAGTAGAGAAATGTAAAGAAATGATTTGTGAAAAAACCTAATTTATAGAAGGAAAGAACGGAAAAATCTGAATTCGTTGGCTACTCGAATTTGAATGACATCATATGTGCCATCAAATTGGTGGCTACTTATTGCAACTATCTAGGCTAGTCGCTCCCCGGGCCGGCTCACTAGTTGGGCCAATTTGGTCCGTCCACTAGTAGGCTTGTGAGCCAACTCACGAACGCCTTGCATGGAAATTTTTTGAGTCGATTTGAGCGAGATGCAATTGAAATGGATGACAACTTAGAAATAGAACAACGAGGTGAACATTCAATGCACAATGACTAAATTCTCCAATTTGGTACATGTATGGCAAAATTTAAATTATAATTTGAACTCCTCAAACATACTATTTGATCTACGCACATTGTAGAATTCAAAATATTATCCGCCTATCATGCATATTTTGGTAGAACTCACAACTTATGATACTTAAAAAGTACTCCCAAGCATTCTGCTCGTTTCTTCAATATATAGGGGCATTAAAATTTACAACTACTTTGCCAATAAAATGCAACGTGCCTATAATATAGTTGTATAATATAAAATAGTTTACTTACCTTCGAGAGGGGAACAATACGGTTCAACGTATCTCAATTAGATCCTTTAAGTTTTTCAGCGACATTAATCTTGAACATGTTTACAATGCAAAGCATAACATGATCTTACATATATATGATGGTGCGTGACATGTACATCCAATCACTCATTGATTTGAATCCCCATTATGATATATCATACGAGCTCAAATATTTATATGACAAATAATAAGCACGCTATTGTCAGTGTTTTTAGGTCCTTTCCTTTCTAGTTTCAACCACAACTCAAGATCTCACAATGTATTCATCATCACCTCCACAGCTCAAGAGATTCTATCAGCGAATAAATTACAAATTATGTTTGGCGTAGGTACACAAAGCTCGTCGTACTAATTCGAGTCCCATGGCCACCATGGGCGGCCCTTATAGGGTGCATCATCCCAAATACCCTATCATTGGCTACTCTTAATGATCGTCGAGAGTCTCAATTAGGTATATCTATCCATATATGAAATAATATGATACAATTGTAGAAGATTTCACTCGTCATCAACATGTTCTATAAGATGCATGTCATGTGAGCATGCCATATTTGAGAGTTGACACCAACCTCCAGTATACCTATTGGCTATTGTCACACCTACAATGCAAAACAACATGAAGAATGCTCAACAAGCAATGATATGGAAGAGCGTATGCATGATTTACAATATTTTTTTCTCTTTAATATTTTCTTCTTGAAGTTCACGCATTTCCTTGCTATCCAGCTTATTCGTCTTTTGATTTGAATCCCGTTATGGTGTACTGTATGAACTCAAATATCAATATGGTCATTAACAAGTGCGCTTTCGTGGGTCCTTCATCACCTATTGAGACTTAAGAGATCGATGTTGTATCTCTCGTTAACCACCGAGACTCACGATATTGCATTAGGAATATAAATGTGTACAAATAAAGTCTAACATATGCATATGGCGCTCATCGTGCCGATCCGCAATCCTAAGGCCACCAAACCGTCAAATCTGGTTAATTGAATTTGTGATAAGTTCGGATAATTGAGGCCGGAGAAATCAATGGCATATGACAAGATCTCTTGAATTTGTGACATGTGATTCGTGCACTTTAACATGTGACATGTGACTAATCCAATGGTATATGACCAAAATTCTTGCATTTTTGACATATGACCCGAGCCAATGGTCTGTAACTAGATCTCTTAAATCCGTTATTTGTGACTTATGTACTTGACATGTAACTTATGACCCGATTTAATGGCCTATGACCAAATCTCTTAAATCTGTGACCTGTGACCTATGCACCTTTGACATGTGCCATGTTACATATGATCGTGACCCAATCTAATGGCAGGTAACCAAATCTTTAGATATGTGACTTGATCGAATGATCCATGACCAAATCTTTTGAATACGTGATATGTAACCCATGCACTTTGACATGTGACCCGTGCACTTTAACATGTCACATGTTCAAGAGATTTGGTCACAGAAACTCAATCAGCTGGGAATGCAAAAACCCCCCACATCCACTACTCCATCTACAGGCAAAACTCAATTGATTGGTCAGACCACCACCATTATCCTTATCCTAATAACTCTCCATACTACCGAAACTCAAATGACAAAGAAGGCAAACAACCTTACCACCAACACAATCTCCACAACTCTACCTACTGCTGAAACTCAAGCGGTCATCCACCATTAACACCCCCACCATTCCACTTACAGATGAAACCCAAACTCAAACATCTAGCCAGCCAAACGCAAACATAACCCCGCCGCCACAGTTCTACATTCAAGTGAAGCCCAGATGGCTAACTAGCCTAGTGCCACCTCAATTGGCCCTGAAAGCACGAGTGCCACCTATAGCGGCTGTACAGTGGTGAACAACTTCTCGGAGCTCAAATCGCCATGCACAGCAGCGATCTATTCACCAATGTAGAGTGCCGCATAGTAGCGGCATTTGTTGACCTCCTCGGTGTGCTGCTGGTGCCACCTCTACTCGCGGCCCAAGGGAGTATGGGTTGGGAAGTGAGGAAAGGCACTGGAGAGTATGGATGTCGAAGTATAAAGAGATAATGGAGGGGGAAGAATGGATGGGAAGAAATGATTCGGGGATTAAAATTAAAATTATAGGGTGCATTGAGGATCGAGGTTGGAGTATTAATATTTAATATTAAAAATTTGATTTATCACCCGATTTGTGAATAATTAAACATCGTGCCTGATTTTTGCACAATGATTTTTAAAATCAGGTTGTGGTGTAATTTTCACTATTGATATTGATGTGCGCCTTGTAGTTGTTGCTGTCCACATTGCTTAGTAACCTTGCAATCTGTATGCCTCGCAGCCGTTCACATCCAAATTCTGTAGCTTAACCTTTTCATTTTCTAAAGTGACAGCATATCACCAAACTTTACTATAAATTCATAAAATCTTAGAAAAATTCCTAAAACTTACAAAAGAAATCGAAAACATATAAAAAAAATTAATATTTTATTTAATTAGTTGTTAAGAATTGAGATTTCATCTTAAAATGTCAACTTTATTAAGAGGAGTAATTCAATCCTTTATAAGTTGCTTTATGTTTACATTTTTATTCGATGTGAGATTCTATCCCTTAATATGCCCCCACAAGATGGTGGCTCGTTTGAGCAGACTAATTTTGAAATTCGTATGCTCACTTTTGGAGTCTTAATCAGATTGAATTGCTCGTTAGAGTTTAACGAGTTTTGATACCATGTTAAGAATTGTGATTCCATCTTAAAATGTCAACCTTATTAAGAGGAGTAATTCAATCATTTATAAGTTGATTTATGCTTACATCTTTATTCGATATGAGATTTTATCCCTTAATATTAGGATCCACTTGTGACACATATAGAAAACATTATTTATAGTATGAGAATTGTTTTTGTAAAAACGAATTATTCAATATAATCGAAACAAACAAAATTCTCATGCCATTTATTATTACTCAATAAAATAAATGACCAAAAGATAATCTCGTCTAAAAAAAAAATAAAAAAAATCCATCGTTTTTCTTATTTCTTCACTACCATTCACTAGCTATACACTTGCACTATTTTTTACGAACAATTTAATAAACAATCATTATGCCCAAAAGCCTCTTTTCTAAGAAGGGCAAGCCACTCATATATTCCGTCTTTCTAAAATAACATCAAATTATCTTGCCATGTTTTCCAAGTAAATCTAAACCCAATGAATCCCATGTCTACGAGATCACATTTTGGGAGAGCTTTTTAGGAAAATGGTGTATCGATGGATGAACGGTTGTGAAGCCACCCTCGTTTTTCTGATATAGAATATATTTCATTGAAATCCCCCATTCGACAAAGGAGGCAATTAGAAGCTCTATGCGAATCGATGTGAGATTTCAACTGTGTATACAATCTAACAATTGAATTCCCACAAAAGTCAATAAATCTCCAAATATTTTTGTCTCTATTTGAGTAGCCCATCAATACTAAACTTAGGATCCGTTTGGTATAACTTTTAAAAAGTCGAGATTCAAAAGTTGCATTTGGATCTATTGGAAAATTTTATGAAAGTACTTCGATAGTTAGAAGAGTTTTTAGACGAAATTGGTTCAAACAAAAATTAAGATACTTTCTCCAAAAATTCTTCTACACGAAAAAAAAAGTAAAATCTATGCCAAACGGGCCCTTAAAACATATTCCTTTATCACCTTTCACTCTTTGCATTGCAGGGGAAATATCTACAGATTCTCCCCTTATGCTGCAAGAGGGAACCCAATAAACTACAAATCCTATTTTCCCTTGCATCGCGAACCTTTGTCTCCATAACGAAAACTAAGGTAGGAAAAAAAATCATTGATTAGTCTCCATAACACAAACAATACACGATGTCCCCTAACTCTTGTATATTACATCTCAAAATTGAGTATTAAGTGCTGTTCTTATTGGCTAATGTTAGGGATAAAATCCCACATCGAATAAAAGATGAAAACATAGACCAATTTATAAATGGTTTGGATTACTCTTATTAATAAGGTTAACATTTTAAGATGGAACCACAATTCTCTACATGGTATCATAGACTGTTAAAGTCCAACGAGCAATTCGATCCGATTAAGACTCAAAAATTGAGCACGCGAATTTCAAGATTAGTCTGCTCAAATGAGCCACCATCTTGCGGAGGCACGTTAGAGATAAAATTTCAAATCGAATAAAAAATGAAACCATAGACCAATTTACAAAGGGTTTGAATTACTCATCTTAATAAAGTTGACCTTTTAAAATGGAACCCCTAAAATTTATTCTTCATAGAAACTTAAATTTCCCAATAAACTATTAGAGATATATCCAAACACTCTCATTTGCTTATTTCCTCCACTTCTCCATTTTTATTTTTTGTATGGTTAGTTCTGTAACTAAGCAATTTGTTTATTTCTTTTTTTTTTTTTTATTAGCACCGTTGGGTAGATATTTTACAAAATTTATTTTCAATCATACATTTTTTCTAATAGTAAATTCATGTTTTTTTTTTCCCACTTTAAATTAAAAAAAAAAAAAAA